GCCCAAGACGAGTCGGAGAACACTGATCAAAAGATTGGTTGCACAAGCGAGTGGCCGAATCAGCTGTCCTAAGCATGATATAAGGCCTTGCCATTACCCCAGGAATTATTGAATTAAGGAAACCTTTCATCAGCAATATGCATGGATCTCGCCTACCTCCTCCTCCGTTCAAGGGTGGCAACTCTACCGGAGGCAAAGAGCATCTCATGAGCTGTGTTCCCTTGACCAAGAAGATATCAAAATCTTGCCATTATTTGTTTCCTTCATCGTCACAAGCATGAGAGCCTCAGTACCTAATCTCCAACAATTTTAATGCATCTTAGACTAATGATTAAACTTAAGGCAAAATGCTGAGCTTAGGGTTACCATGCCACTCGTGCAACTCAATTAAATAAAATGTTTTGAACCAAAAATGCAGCTCATTTCTAGATTCCCAGGAGACAAGCTGATCTCTCTTCAATGAGGCCCAGGGACAACCAATTTGCATCATAAAACTATAAAAGAAAATGGTTGCACGTGTTGAGAAGGCCAGTCCTTTATTGAGAGATTCCTTTGGTCTCTCCCTTAGGACTTATATAAGAGGCAGAATCACAAGTTCAATCCCCAAGCCTGAGGTGCGATCAGAGTCCTCGAGTTGCAACAATGGATGCCCCAATCTCCTATCATGTCTGTTCTGACAGCTTGCCCTCTGGTTCTCACCCCATCTTGCTCGAATTGAGCGAGAAGGTGCTCCGCTTTAACAATTGCGAATCAAATCCTCAATGCCATGTCTACTTTCTCAGTAACTTGTACAATGATTTGGATGGACTTCTCCAATTGCAGCTTTCTGGAGAAGCCATACGTCGTGATGATAAGTTTGTCAGCGAGATGCTCGATGACACTCTTACATTGCTAGATGCGTGCAGCAGGATGGGAGATGCTATATCCTGCTTGAGAGAGCAACATCGAGGTCTACTATCCACTTTCCGTAGAAGAGCCTATGTTGGTTTGGAACGCCAAATTAGCGCTTACATCTCAGCCCAAAAAAAGATGGCGAAGATCTCAGCCAAATGCCTTGCAATTTTTCAGAAAGACCACAAGACACAACACCAACAATCTGCTGTGGACAATGAGGTGTTGTGTGCATTGAAACAAGTCAGATCGATTACCATCTTTGTGCATGAATCGCTATTATCACGATTCATTGCACCAAGGAAACAACATTAATCATTTCCTAGATCTTGAAACCCAAATTGCGAAAGCCAAATGGGATGTGGGAGAGTGCAAAAGCTGCTCTCAATGCCCTCTACACCAGCTCTGGCAAGCTTGATGACTTGTGCGTGAAGGATGCCCAAAGACAACTGGAGATAAGGGATGCATGCATGACCAACATGGACAATCAGTTGGGATGCATCAGCAGTCACCTGATTCGAACCCGTGCTGCCCTCCTTAACATGCTAACCATATAACCCTCTCCTGTGTACTCCCAGTTTTGAGCTAGGGGCATCCGCTTTTTATAGGACTTTGCCCAGTAGTATGTGATTATGCTTTGTATAGAACACTGTAATTTAAGAGATGATAATTGTCACATATTTTCTTCTTTACTGCCTCACCTCTATTTTTGCCTGATATTGCAATTCAAGTCCACGCCTCTGATGGTTCATCACAATCGATAATTGCAGGTTGTAGGCATAATTAGCTATGTTAACAAAATAAGAATATAGCATGTGTCATGCTAAATGTCCAACATTCCAGATTTCAATTCCACCTCTAAGCAACCCGAAAAAAAAAAACAAGCTAAATGAAATTGACGTCCGCTTGTGAAGAATATATAAAATGGGAATTACTGTGATTCACAAGCTGAAAATGAATTTATATGTTATTATATCAAAATAAGAAAACATTTGAGGACTGTAACATGGTCAATGTTTCCAAATAAGATTTTCAATTCTTATGTAAGAAAGGATATTCAAGTAATTCGGAGATGGATCCTTTCCTCCCTTACCCAGAATAGTTGGCTTCTTTTTGTTCATGTTTAATCTCCTGACAATTTCAAAAACAAATTGTATGCCTTAATACTTGTCACAAAAATATGTTACATCAACAGTCCTTGGGATGAACCGTCCATTTCTTCATTCACTCAAACAGGTGATAAACTGATGACCAAATTGAGAAGAATGGTTCATCTCAGCTCCCACCATTGATGGTCATGCTACTGGTATTGTACTGGTTCAAGAATCATGGGATAGTGTTATTGCACATGGATGAATGACACAAGCTGCTCTTGGAAATTTTAAGAAGAATGTAATGCTAAGATCAATTAGTTTCTCGCGAATGACAACTGCTTTCATAGTATTATTGAGCGTAATTAATCAAATAGAAAAACATTAACAAAATATTTTAAAGTGATTTTTATAGCCTTATTTCAAATTCCAAGTATCCAAGAGTACTTTGAGAAATTAAAAAATTAAAAAAAAAACATGAGTGTAAGTTATAAAAAATCAATGATATTTTTCAGACGCCACAAATTATTTGAAATACATACAAAATTTTTTCAATAATATAAGACCTAACTTACACACCCAAGAAATAGGAGAGGCAATGGGAAAGGCAGGCCGGCCCTACAAAGCCCGTGCCTATGCCAATTAATTTGGCCCATGGGCTGGTACAAGCTTCAAAATCTAAGCCCAATGTCTAGGCATCGGCTTGGCCTGGGTGAAGGGTCATGGCCCAGGGTGTTTCCATAATTTTCTTTACGAATTGAAAAAACAAAAGAAGGTTACATATCTTGTTGACTCACCCGGCCCGACCACATTAATAAGGCCTGGCCGGCCTAGGTAGCAAGGGAGTAGGACCAAGCCTGGCACAGGGACATTAGGTATCTGAAAAAGGCCAGGTTTGGCCAAGTCTCAAGGGTCAGCCTTGGGTCAGCCCTAACAAGAAAATAAATGATTTGGTCAGCCTTCCATCAGCAGCGAAAAGGATGGATCTTCCCTATCTTCTCATTTGTTCAACACTACCATATTAATAGGAAGCAAAGAGCATCTCGTGAGCTGCATTCCCTTGACCAAAAAGGCAGCAAATCTGGACATCATATGTCTAAACATTACTGAAACATGACAGCCTCAGCACCTCATCTCTAATAATTTGTTAGCAACTTCAACTGAGGATTACTTAAAGGCGAAATGTTGGGTTGAGGGCAGTCGGGCCGCTCATGGAACCAACTTAAATAACTAAGCTTGCATCATCAGCTGCATTGCTAGGAAATAAGCAGATCCCTCTTCTATGGGACTACCAAAATGTGAAAACAATATGCCTTAAAAAATGAAAAAGAAACGATTGCACATGTTAAGAAGTCTGGTTCCTTTCCCATGGTCTCCCCCTTAGACTTATATAAGATGCAGACCTCACATGTTCAATCCCCAAGCCAGAGGTTGGATCAGAGTCCTTGAGTTACAACAATGGATGCCCCGATTTCATACCATGTCCGTTCCCTCAGCTTGCCCTCTGGATCTCACCCTGTATTGCGCCAATTGAACTAGAAGGTCCTCCACATTAGCAATTTTGAATCAAATCCTCAATGCCTTGTTGGTTCTCTAGCTAACTTGTACAACGATTTGGATGGACTTCTTCAGTTACAACTTTCCCGGGAGTCCTACGATGACATGATGAGTTTGTTAGCAAGATGCTTGATGACACTCTTAAATTGCTAGACGTTTGCAGTAGGATGAGAGATGTTATACCCTACATTGGAGAGCGACATCGAGGCCTCCTATCCGCTCTCCGTAGGAGGGGCTACATTAGCTTGGATTGCCAAAGTGGGGCCTATATCTCAGCCCAAAAGAAGATGACAAAGGTTTCAGCCCAATGCCTTGGCACATTGAAGAAAGACCACAAGCCACAACACCAACAATCTACTCAATACAATGAGGCCCTCTGTGAATTGAGGCAAGTTGGATTTATCACCACTTTGGTGTGTGAATCGCTCTTATCACAATTCACCGCACCAAGGAGACGAGAATCAATCATCTCCTTCTTTTTAAAGCCCAAGTTGCAGCAGCCTAATGGGCAGTGGGAGAGTACAAGTCGCTCTCAATGCCCTCTGCACAGCTCCGGCAAGGTTGATGACTTGCGTGTGAAGGATGCCCGAAGACAGCTAGAGTCATTGGATGAATGCGTAACCAACATTGATGATCAGTTTGGGTGCATCAGCAGTCACCTGATTTGAACCCGTGTTGCCCTCCTTAACATCCTAACAATATAATCCTCTCCTATGAACTCCAGTTTTGAGCTCGGGGAATCCGATTTTTATAGGACCCATCCCAGTAGCTTGTAATTATTATGCTTTGTACCGGACACTGTACTTTACAATTTGTCATATATTCATTTATTTAGTACCTCATCTCTGTCTTCACCTGATATTGCAATTTAAAGTCCATTCCTCTAGTGGTTCAGTTGGTTGCATAGAATGGGCAAAAAGATCATCCTAATTAGCTATGATAAATGTGTGTCCAACCTTCTTCATAACAATATAAGTCTTTTATGAAAGAGTTGGTTATGTGCCTCACTTCTAAGACCAGGAAAGGTGGTCCATATGGAACTGAGCTTCATGCATTCTAAAATTTTCCGATGTTGATTTCTAGGAACTCATCCATTAGAGGAATGCACGATACAGCTTGTTGCTATTCATTCCCAAGAGTGTATTAACACAGCGTCGAGTTGTTGAGTTGTGCGCTCTAACCTCTAATTTATTAGCCAAAAAACATGACTTGGGCTATGACTGATAAATGGAATCACTTGGGGATCCCCAGAAAAACATAACTTGGGCAAATGCAATACAAAATACCCCTTTGCTACACTGTACCCAGATTTACCATAAATACAAGACATTGTATCTGCCTTTCCCAAATATACAAATTACCATATACACATTCTACATTAATCTGAAAGACAATATATATTTTCGTAACACTTTTTTTTTTTAAAAAAATGATTATTTTCGGTTTTTCGAAAAGCCAAATTTAAGTTATAATAGAGAAAGAAACCTCCTCTTCAGCCAACTGTCTCACTTGAAGCCCTGTTTCGGCATAAACCTTCCTTCTCAACCCATCTCTGTTCTCCACAACTATTTTCTCTTTCAAAGACTGAAAGTCCTTCATGACTTCTCTCAATTTCTTCCTCAAACCATTACTAACTGAAACCCTAGTTTTATCAACAAAGCTCCCTTCCTTGTGACTGTAGAGCCTCCTATTATCAGCATTAGACTTATCAAGAAATTCAAGCCTTGCTTTGATAGCCCTAGCCTTCTTTAAGACTGAAACCACGTCCAAATCCATTCGCTCCCTCAGAAATTTCAGAGGGTTTGGGTCCTGAAGGGATTTCATTTCTCTATCTGCATCCTTGAGATTCCGGAGATCATACAGGATTTCAATGTCACCTTTAATGACCCCTACTTCTTCAAATAACTGACCTTGGTTTTTCTCATCTTCTAGGGTTGGGTCGGATAGTTCAAGATCTGGTCCAGCTTCAAGGTCTTTTAGGGCTTGATTCTTTGAGTTCCACAGTTTATGAAGGATTTGGTCATTAGGTCGTTCATCATCGCTCTGATCAGTGGACCCCTTTGCTCTTAAGTTCTATGAAAATTTTAAGAAACGGTACAGCTGCGTACCTGAGAGAGAGAGAGCTGCAATGAAAGAGGGGGTTTCCCTTCCTGTTCAAACACACCGGCGGGTTTTCCACAAACCAGAGATAAGGAGAAGCCAAGAAACGCCGATATAAAAACGATTATTCAAAATCTCAAATTTAAAAGAAAGGCGCGCTTTTTCTAAACCCATTCATATCTTCTTCTTCGTAGAGAAATTTACAAAAAAAAAAAACGTTTATCTATACAACTTCCCCCCACCCAATCTTTTTCTCTCATTTTTTTCCCCAAACAACCATTCCTCACAAAATAACGCCCCCCCAACTCAAAAGTAGCATGAAATAAAACAAAACTATTTTGTTTGTTTTAATACGGCCTACTCTCTCTTATTTTTACACGTGCTCGGACAATCCCAACACGTATTCTCGCATTCTGAATGTACACTCCGACAATACAGGTTTGAGCCGTAGTGCTCCAACATTATAAGAACTCTCCGATAGTGCAAAGACGTACTCTGATAATTAAGTCTCTAGAGCCACAGCGCTTCGGCAATTAAGTCTCTGGAACCACAGCGCTCTGGCAATTGAGGACCGCTGTCTGGCAGTATAAACAAGCGCTCCAGCATTTTGAATATGCACTCCGGCAATGCAGGTCTGAACCATAGTGCTCTGGCATTGTGAGAACGCGCTCCGACAGCACACTACTTGGGACGCACGAATTGATTTGGTTTGTACGGGAAAGGCATTTCCGTCAAAAAAAATAACAACTTTTTACTTTGGGGGGGTTTTGCGAAGAAATGTTGTTTTGGGAGAAAAAGTGAGAGAAAAGATCAGGGTGGGGTAAGTTGCATAGATAGTCGGTCTTTTTTATAATTTTTCTTTCTTTAATTATATATCCTAAACTTATCTATTTCTATCTCTTCTCCTCTCTCTCTTACTGTGTTTCCCCAAACACTTTTCTCTCTCCTCCCAGTACCCTCTCCCTTTCAAAAGGTTTTATCTCTCTCTCGAAATTTGGGAATGACTTTTAGAAAAAAATGTCTTTACAATTTTTTTGGCCTAAAAAAATACGTTTAAATTAGCTCAAAGATTAGGAGAAATAAAATCTACAATTTTTTTACCCAGATATCTTTTAAAACTTGGGGTCTATTGTGAAATAAAACTTAAAAATAGAGAACATGAAAATATTTTCCCCTTTCTTTTAAATGTTAGGAAGTTTAGAAAATGGATATACATGTAATAAATGAAACCAAAAGGTAGTTTTGTAATAATGGCAAATATTGATATATTCGTAAATTTCTTTTCTTTTTAAATATTGTAGTTATTTAAAATGCAATAATCTTGATTAAGTTTTCCAGTTTTGCCATTCCAATCCAAGACTCAAATCCACATTGTATAACAGCCATTATTTTGAATAAAACGTGTTTAATCTCTCATTACGAGCGCTTGTTGGAATGGCTTCCAGCCATTCGCCATTAGATCACCCAGGGAACAAGATGCGTTACCATAAGCCGTTATTTTAACCCAACTCCCCTGATTTTGAACTCAGATAGGGGTGGCAATGGACCCGGTCAGATCCGGGATCCGAAAGGTAGACCCAACCTATTAACAGGTCGCGTTTGGTTCCAAATCGTAAACTCGAGTCTGGGTCTAGGTCCAATCAGATCCGGTTAGTTCTGGGTCTAGGTCCCACATATACTTTCGAGTCTTAATTTATGAAAAATAAT